ACCATGGCTTTCAGGTATTTTTTAGGACCTTTTTTCGAATGGGAACAAGAACAATAACAGCAAAATAAACATTCGTGTCCGAAAAAATTTTTCATCTATACCAGAATATCAGCGATGAAGTACAAAATTTGTGAGCAAAAATAATTTTTCCCAGTTTTTCGAAGAGAATCTGTACGGGTACCTTTTCGCTTGTAACTGGCGATACGATAATTTATCTTTTATTTTTAATTGTTAATTAAACAATGTATAAAACAAAGGAATGAATAAAATAATTGTCACTGGGAAAAGAGAGAAACAACACGCTCTCCGTCTTTATGGTCGCTTAAATACAGTGACATTAAAGGAGTGTAACACAAACGAGGAAATTTTCAGAAATCAGATAATACAAATAACGAGCTTTTTTTCACCTTAATTTTGCGCTCAAAAGTCTGCCGTCATGTATTATTGTACATCCTAAGATCTTGTCAACTGTATCAGTAGAAAAAGAAAAAAAAAAGAAAAAGAAAAGTGTGGTCACGAAATCCCCGCCGCGTGTATCGTTAAAACTGAGAAAGAAAGAGAGGGAAAAGAGGGACAGGCAAAACGAGAGAAAGGAGTGTGAAAAAACGAGGGATACAGGAAAACTAAAGCAGAGCAAGAAAACGCGACGAAAAATGCGGCACACCAGTTTCACTGCCACTATAAAACACGAAGGGGTAAGCACCGCCAAACAATGGCAAGCGATGGCTGCAATGGTAAATCATCTCTGTCTCCCGTTCGGCTGCGCTGCACCGCGGCGTTTTCTCGTCCCACTTTCCTCGGGTGCCCATTTAAATCCGCAATTACATGTATATATATACACACTCCCGCTCCCGCTGCTGCTTATCCTTTCACGCCTCGCTCCCGTGCTCTAAGAGACGACTTTTATCTCAATTTGGTTAATTTTTTTTTTCCTTCTTCTTCTTCTTCTTAGGCTATCAACTGCTGCGCTCGTGATAAACCGAATTTACCATTATTTCTGTGCCATTTTTTTGGACTATAATTTCCATTGAACTACTTCGCAATACATCAGACGGGGAATACTAAAAATACTGTGTCATAAGGAAAATTATTCTACATTGTAGTATAATCATTTCTTCGGAATTTCATCGAATGGGTGTTGTCCTGAAGATTGAAAATTTTATTCAGCTATAATGTAATATTACATGCAGAAAATGGAATTTTTTATGTTTATATTAAAAACTTAAAACATACATATTGACGCTTTTATTCAAGTCATTCTAATAACGGCGTGTTTTAAGTACATAAAAAAAGATCGAACGTAACAAGTAGGTGGCGTTATTAATTATGTATTAAAACTCAGAAAATTTTATCGAAGAAAAAGAATTTAACAGCTCCAAGACTGCATGACTCTAAAAAAATTGAAATCGTTTTTTTGTACTTGAATATATTTTCGGTGCATATATAGCCAAAAAACAATGTAGATATAAAAAAAAAAAAAATAAAAAAAATAAAAAAAACAATGAATCAAACAGTAAATCCTGTCTTGCCTGACCCAACAGAGCCGTGCACGAGTACCATCACCACCACAACATGGCAGCAGCGGCCGCGGGCTACAACAGTCTCCTGTTGAACCGTAGCCTCGGCCACCCGAGCTCGCACCCCGGGGTACCTCATCAGGCGCACACGGCCGTCACGTACAAGGACTGGACAACGGCCGCGCCCTCCCAGTCCCTCGTCGACGCCGCGTCCTCGGCGCCGCCCTACCCCCACGGACCTTACGCCCCTCTGTCCGGTGACTACTGGTCGTGAACTTCACGCGGTGAATCCTGCTGATGAGCCGATGGTGATGGTAGTGGCACGGTGGCCACAGAGCTTTTGTAAGACGACCAAGTACCGTTCGTTATTATACATGTAATATATACATATATATTATCTAGAGGTCATGTGCGTCGTCTTACGTTATATATATATTTACCTTCTTCGCCACTCACCCGCTCCCATTTCCTCAATATTTCTATTTCATCCTTGTCGAAACTCAATTTTATTCATCGATATAATTAATTGTGCTCCTGCGAATACACGTACATCGTATACAAATATATATAAATGCTCCCCAAAATATTGCTGCTTGCGCCTGATCGTGGATGTATGCTGTGGAGTACTGCGAGCTCTTTCGATTGACCTTATATACGTTCTTTTAGTTTGGAAACATTCTTCTTTTTTTATTTTATTTTATTTTTTTTTTTTTTTTTTTTTCATCTTTGTCTTTGTGCACGAGTAAACTCAAAACTTGATGTTAGGTGTGGAACAAATGTACATTAATGCAAAATGTTTTTCTGAATAAGTGATGTGAATTTCGTTTGATTTTCATAAAAGATCGAGTACGATTTTATGAATAAATAAAATTGGTACAAAAGGTGTTGAAAGCTTTTACGAATTTTATTGTCATGGATAAAAATTTTTTGGTGAGTGCAAATTGTTTTTCTGTACACGGTGAAGTGAAAAAAAAAAATGGAGGAGCCCGCAAACATTATTTGTTTTGTTTCAAACTCTTTTTTAGTGCATGGTTCACAATTATTCATACCCAAGAATATAATACTCCATAAAGAATAGAATTTTCATGTCCATACTGTATGTAGCTGAATATTTTTTAACTAAACTGAAAATTAACTCATTAAACATATATTTCACAATTTTTCCGAATTTATTACGATATTACTTGGAATTTTCACCAATTTTATTTTCATTCGGTTTTTTTTTTTTTTTTTTTTTTTTCAAATCAAAATATTTCAAGACCTTTTAAGGCGCATAAATTAATACCCAATAACGCAATAATTTTCCTACCCAAGTACAAAAAGCATGAAAAAAAATGTTGTCCAAATATGAACGGATTTTATTAAAAAATGGTTTTACAGAGAACGTCCTCGAACTACATAGATAATTATTATTGAATAATGAGAATTACATCAATTGCATGTAAGACGGTTAGTTTATTGTGTTTTTTTAGACACAAAGTTAGTCAATCGATGCATCTACAGTGTAAGTTGTTCGATGCAAATACATCTTACCATAATTACATTTACTAATTAATTATTTGTAAAATATTTTAGCTTGGAATTTCAATATCAGTTTGAATGCGGGAGTTGTAGAATATTTATGCCTCTTTCTTTTTTTGTTCCTTTTTTTTTTTTAAGTATGAATTCCCGAATCAATTACAGAATTACTCTGACTTTATTTAAGTTCGAATAAATTTAAATATCGATTTGTAACAAAATATTTGAGAATGCATGAATATTACTCAATGTGTATATAAATAAAGATGCTGGTTTTCTTATTATTTCTGGTGCGTTAACTTTTTTTTAGAATTTAAATTTGGAAAGAAAAGTTTTATAAATGGCGCTTCTTTATATAATATCTTGTGTATACATCAACTTATCCGATAAACAGCCATTTTTCAGATGAAAACAAAAAATCACTGTTAACAAAATCTCTAATAATAATAAAAAAAAAAAAAAAAATTACACTCTACGTTTGTGACTTTAGAATAGACTGTGAGTAAATTTTCATCAATAATTCATCAGTGTGTACATCTGAAGGTGTATAAAAGCGACAATAGGGGCTATTAGCGTTGTCTGGCGTAAAAATTATGTCCATCCCATCACAGCGATGCACGAAACGTTAAGATGGGTATACAATTTTTTCGAGAAGGTTACTAAGTTGCGTCTGCGTCGGACCTTGCAATTCGTGTTGTGTTATTAATAATAATATTAATAATATTTATAGTGATAATAATAAAAATATGTAGAAAATGAAACGCATGTATTACTTGACAGGCAACCAATCATTAGATTAAAACGACATACATACGTATCAATCACACCTTTCAAACGATATGATTAAGCAAAAGATTAATGTAATAGAAGCAGAAAAAATTGTATTACATATATATGATGCGCCTGTAATGTTTTTACTTTCTTGGGCCGATAACGCACGAGCACGTGTAATACGCAACCCCGTAAAGTGTAGCTAGTATTTAAAAATATTGTAACAGCGATTTTTTATTTTATGTTTGTACAGTCACTAGGTCGTATTACATATTATGAGATGAAAAAAAATGCGTATAATCTTTACTTGAATACATAATCTGCGCTCACTGTACTTAAGAAAATTTTACTTCACGATGCATAATGTGACATTTTCATAAGCCGCTGAAAGCTAGCGCTCACTGTATAAAAGTATGCTTGCCTTTGAAAAACTCCCTCATGTATAGGTATACTTTTTATATGGTAAACGCTAAGTAGCTTCTATTGTTTCGTTGAAATGGATCTTAAAATCACTGGAAGGGCATGCTGACGTGTAAATATCACTTGTAATAAATGTGTTTTCGTTAATCTGACCATTAAATAACTTTAAACGTCCTTGTACTACTTCATTAATTTAATTGACTGAGCCTTCTGGCTCTGGTTACTCATTTCCTTAAATTTTTAATATTTAATTTCCCCTCATGCTGTATGCCAAATGAAAAATGTATTTTATTTATTGTAGTAAGACGAGAATTCAAAAAAAGCCTCCTACCTGCCTGCTATTTTACTCTCAATATTTATCCATTTGTTTATGATAATCGGGTAAGTTTTATCTTTTAGATTAAGTCATCACCTTCTTAAATATATTGAGGTAATGTTATGATACTTCATTTCAATGTTGTAAAATATCATGAAAATGATTTAAATACTCGGTTTATTTTTTAACTTTTTAATTAGATTTTTAACTCATTTCCTAATTTTTTTTCTATATTTGAATGATCAAATGGATCGAGACTAATACGAAACTCAGAATCATTAGGCACAAGTATATCTATGTACCATCCGACCCACGTAGATTATCTATTAAAACATTATTAATTTATTAATCGTCGTGAACAAGTTTTTATACCTTCATCATAAGTTATGAATCCGATAAAGGTACACCTAATTTTTTCTCATAAATTTGCGAGAAAAATAATGAAAGGTCAACTCCAATAAATTGGCATTTTAAAAAAGGTACAATTTTATTTTCGATTTTATTTACATCCGAAGCTAAGGGAGTTGCAATTGGCTATCCTATTGTAAAATAAAAATGTAAAAAAATAATGAAACGATGTTCACAACTATTTACATTGTATATAAAGTTCTTGATGTTTAATTCACATCTTACATGTAATTACATCCAACACGTATTTTCATATGTTGTTTTGCTTCATCTTTTCCAAAAGTTGCTTCAGCGACATGTTCTTAAGATAATTGTTGGCGACTTCATAAATTTGTTGATTGACTAGAGCAGTTACGTCCCCTTGGAAATCCCTCAGCATAGAGACAGCGTTTTCAGAAATAACAGCACTAATGAGAGTGGACAGCTCGTCATCTCCGAATAACCCGGTGATACTGACCTGGTTATCAAACGCGAGAAAAACGTTTAATCATATAGGATAAAAATCGGTCAACTGAATTCCAAGATTCTTGTGATACGATTACACAAACACATACATATACAAATATACCTACACATACATACACAATCTTAAGAAAATATTGTAAGAATTTAAGAAAAAACATACGGGTAGGAGAAGAAAAACCACGCTTTACAAAATTTCGTATCAATTTAAGATAGAAGCGATTGTTTTTTTAGGATATTTATGAAAATAAAATACTCCTAAGGCCTCAAGATTTAATTTAATATAATCGACGCACAATGAAATTACCTCGAGATTTTCAAGATCGATATTAGTGTTGTTAAGAGCCAATACTGATAGCCTATCGGCTTTCATATCCATCTTAATGTTAGCTTCTGTCGCAAAATGGAATTGGCTCACTTTCAATCTGTAAATCGTTAATTTATCAAGGCTATCTAAAGAGGCTAAATGGTTGTAATGCATACATATAAAAACCCTTTACTTGAGATTTCCAGCGCCGTAAATGGGAAACTTGCACAGCACGGAACCATCAAACAAATTGTACTCGGTGTTGAAATTGATAGCGGTCCACAAGAAATCGACAATGACTTTTTTGCCGATGAATTTGAAATCGGCATTTTGCACAAAGTAATCGGATAAACCTGTCACAAACAAGTCCACGACTTGTCCTTTCATGCTGAAAAAAAAGTACAGTTTACAATAATAAATATGAGAATATGGTGTGATTATTCGATAAAAAGCTTACGTGATCACAGCATTTTGGACATTGAATTCTAGGCGCTTCATATCCAATGGGTCGATGACTGGAATGCCAACAGTTTCGTTGCCATTTCTGAGGAGTTCCTTCAAATTTTCCAGCATTTGCTTGAATTTGTCACCGATGGATCTAGGCTCAACGACTGATTAAAAAAAATCGCATTTTATTTACACAAATTGTGGTAAAGCATAGGTTTTTGGTAAAGTGGCTATCAAATTTATTTCAATTTCGAACGAGATTCGGAATCTCTTGATCGTAGATTCTTTTCATGCAACATTTGATTGGAAAAAACTAATCAGCTATGAGAAGTAACTTATCTATTTATCTATTTAATCTATACACAAAAATTCAGACAGCCGAATGTTAATACGTAATAGATCTAGCAGATATAAAAAAATGCCCCCGAAGTATCATCAAAACAAGTAACGTTACATCATTTTTTTTAATCAAAGAAATAAGTACCTCAGATATCTAATACTAGAGTTGTTTGGATCTAGCTTATAAGCTGCGGAATCGAATTTTAAATCCTTTTTCATGATAAACTTTAAAATTGCATCTTATTTATCTTTGCTTGTTTATTTATAATACAAAAATGTGTATTTAACAGTAGCTATAGAAAATCTACATATAAATATTTGCTTGTATCTATGGCTATAATTTTAAAAAAGTTCTACTTATTACTTATTTCACCTCAGATTGTACAAAATTATTGGGTATTTTTGTTTATCAATCGTAAAATTTTTATTGAAATTTTATTGTGAATATGCGAGATGAGCGCAAAATAGAAACGCTTAAAAGTACAATACCCCATAAGCTTTTTGCACGTCAAATCCGACTAAAAACTAATATTAAATAATTTCTCGTATTTCCGAATTTCGATAGCATCATCTTGTAGGTTTTATTTAAATTTACATCCAATATTTCCATTGTTAATTTTACAACCTGTTGTGTTTCCTTAAAACAACGTGTCATTTTTCTTACAAAAATTTTTACAAGCGTTTATGGACGTTCTCGGATGTACAGCTAATTTTTGAAATAACTCATGAACTCATATGTCAAAGGTAGGTTTAAAAAATTTAATATTCAAGAAAAATTTTGATTTCGAAATTTTTCTCGTGAATGAAATAGAGACCTCGTACGTGAGTATTTGGAGTTAAAAAATGATTAATCTTCAAGTATACACATCGTTTAATTTCCATCAAAATCCTGTTAATTTTCGTTTCACGAGTAAACACCCGTAACTCAACTATGTAAGTAAAGTACACTGCCACAGACTACATGTGCAAGTAACAAAAAAGCTCTCTTGCTATTTTAAAGTCTTGCATGCTTGCGCGCATATATATATATATATTATATTCGTATGCACGTGAAGTGCCAACTCGTCTCTTTCTTTTTCCTTTTTTCGTTCGCCAACTTTATTTTTTACATTCTTTCGCGCCAATGTGGCCCCTTCGGTGCCAAAAGAATGTCACCACCCATTTGTTTCATCTTTTTTTCTTCCAACGAAACAAAAATACGACCAATGTAGCCGAAATAGTTTGCGGATGCTCGAGCTTACGTATGTATGTATGTATGTATGTATGTTTGAAATGAGAAAATAAATGAAACGAATACCGCGTTACAGTGCAGTTTATCGGAAAATCTTAAATTATACATAATTTCGTGGAGTACGATAATGTTAATAGGTGTACTCACTGGATTTACTGAAGGAGTGCGCGTGGCTGAGCTGGCAGATCGCCGCTACGACTAGGAAGGCCGTGATAGCCCTCATTGCTCTGAAATAAGAAAATTAAAAAAAAAAGACAAAAAATTCAATAGAAAATTGGAGTTATTTCAAGTTGCGCGTAATAACCATTGGTATAAAGATCGTAGCGTTCTAGAGTACCTACTTTCCTTGAAAATTCGTTCAACGTTTTAGAATCACGATTTCTTCGACTAGATGCAATGTTAAAAAAAATTATTCTCGATTCTCACCAGCACACCGTATGTCCATACAAAAACTGTTCACGCTTTGATTGATAGTATTTTTATGAGCAAAAAAAAAAAAATTCTTAGCAACTTACCTCCGTACGCTCGAAACTTTTTAAATAAAATGGTAAAGTTTAACGACTCGCACTGAGTCGTAATTACCGATGAACTCTTAAGTAGAGCCCAGATATAAGATCGTGCTGATGTTTATCTAATCTGCGGGTGAAGCTCGTTGGGAAACGTGGTTTAAAATTGATTAAAATAAAAAATCGCATCTCCTTTTAAGCAATTGATCATGTACGTATGCGAAATTACCCTACGTTTGTATATATAAAACAATCTACTTTAGTATTACCAACATAAAATTCGATTTTTATGTTTGTATGTATGAACATTAAAACTAAACTTCTTTTTAAACTAATAGGGATTATTGAGAAAATTAAAGTGAACAGTAGAAAAAAACATTGAAACATTGTATTTTTGACCCACTACATAATCATCAAGGTATATGTCAACAAATATCTCTCGAGATTTGACGATTTTTACTTGAAGTGAAAGGCAAATTAATCTTCATTGTGTGTTTGACTTTGTAGGTTTTTAGTATAGCAACCTGATCAAACTTCTTAAAGCAAATATGAAATGACGCTTTGGAATGTATTGGAAAAATTATGCACAAACAAATACATGTTTTATTATTTATCAACATTAGTGGGGGTACATTTTTTCTCACTTTGTCATGTCAACAAGATATATGTTTGACATTAACCATATACATTTGTTTTATAATAGTAACCTTTTTTTTCCTTACACTGTGTCCGTAATGCTTGTTGATTTTAAAAAAAAAATCGTTTTTTTTTTTTGTTCATCATAAGTTTAATTAAACCTGCTTTAATGGAACATTTGTAAGGTATTACTAGCTCTGGCGAAAACAAAGATTAAATAATGTTATCGTTTTATTTAGTCAGTGATAAGATATATTTTAGCCGTGAATCCTATAGTGATAAACTACAACGATGATGATGAACAAAGTTTTTTTTTAAACAGTTACAACATCTTTATAGCCACACAGTGGTGCGAAAAAAATATTTAATGTATACGTTAACCAATGATGTGGGTCGCATGTTCCAATGTTTTTTCGTTGATGAAACCATCGAGCAACTTCGTCAGTTCGGAATCAATTGTGCCAATAAATAAATACTGGTGGAAGTTGACGGCGTGAGGCAGCGATGAGCTGATTAATTTATTTATAGTCTCTGAGGCCTCCTCATCGTCATAGATACCGGTAGCGCGAAACTAAAAAAAAAAAAAAAAAAATAACTGTATTTGTAGATTCCGCGTGTTTAATCGAGTTTTCGGGAATGATATTCATCGTTCTTACGTCGATCGATCCCAGGGAGATATTTGTGGATAAAGCATCAATTGATAATTTGTTTGTTTCTTTAGCTGCACTGAGTTTTATCTTGACCGCGACTGTGAGGTCTTTGGCATCAAACCTAAGGGTAATGTAGAATTGAAAATAAAAATATAAAGTTGTCAATGAAGGTGATGGTTTTTTTTCACGGAAGTATATATTAATGCTGAAAAAAGACAAGGTGGTGAGAGCGCACGAAGGAAAATTAAACAATAAACAAGTGTACAGATCAGATCATGTCATTTTAATGCGTAAATATGTTTTTAATATTTGCACGAATATGCAACTTGTCTATTTTTAGCATCGTAACTGGATGGTATCTTTACTTTTCTACCAGCATTGTACATTAACTTGTAAATGTATAAAAACACATTTGAGCCACTTTTCCTCGAAGAAAACTCGATGGATCATCATACCCAAAAAATTCTGAAGAAAAAAATTCTCACTACAAAAATAAAAACCTTAACTGATAAGTACTACTTCGAATGGAATATTTTATTATTTGCAATCAAATATTATTTAATACGATTTCAATAGTGCAGTTTTATTAGTAATAAGTGTTTAATATATGTCTGAATCAATATATTAGATAAAAAAAATAATGTTGAGTTGCATTTTTGTCAATAATGCATGGATGATGGCTCTGAATTTCTCACGGGGCACAAAAATAATACCTATATTTGTATGTTATTTGTAATGTTGATAGAAATGTTAGTATAGTATACACAAATAAGTTTTCATTGTCGAAACTTGGTAACAGTCTTTTGTCAATTGAAACTTTCTGAAAAATCTTGATTTCAACGAAGAAACTACAAGAATAGCTTAAACAACGTCCTTGAATTTTTGAGTTTGATCTATTGAGTGTTTTTCAAGTAATTTATGTACAGAGTCAAGGAAATAATTTAAAAATGTAAACTATAAGTACTACGTGATAAAAATTTTAGTCATACACTGTATCACCATTTCCGAAAAGAGGAAAATCCGGCCAGTCTTTTTTGAATGCTTTTAAACCGTACGAAGTCACCACTTTTAAACTAGACCAGGTTGCGTTGAGCGTCAATTCCTGGTCTTGAAATTTGAAATGAGCTTCGTTGACTATATAATTGGACAAGCCCCCAACCTTGAGATTACTCGCGTTGAAATCGACGCTAAACAACAAAGAAAACGAATGTAAAATTCTCGCAATCCAAATTGAATCACCTGGTACCTAACAAATGTTGCAGTAAATACCTGAATAGATCGTTGTTGATGGTGATATTTTGAAAATCAGTTTCAAAAGGATCGAGAACTGGAATTCCTAGGGTATTGTTTTCAGATCTCATGACATCTTTCAAACTTTCAAAAAAGACCTTCAACTGTCTATCCGGGGCCACTATTTTTATCTTACGATATACATGTAGAATGTGATACGTGAAAAATGAACGATCGAAATATATATCGGACGATATTGCGAGCACAATAATCGCAGTTACCGAGATGGCTATTGAGAACTTCATCACGCGTCGTGTACGTTTTTTACATGTAATAAACGATAAGTATGAACAGCATCTGTTTCAAGCACGAGCGGTTATTAATTGTCGGAATATTTTATCTTATCGCTTTGTAAGTTTAGAATATGTTTTTTGAAGGTAACAATGGTTATTGGGTGACGATTGAAACGATGTCAAAAATGTGAGAGCCATCATGGTAGAAAGTAGGTACACAAGATTAAATATACACAAGTTGATATTCATCTCAATGTGTAAACATAATTTTACGATTTTATTAAGCAGAGGTATAAACTTTTGTATTATAAAATATTCTATTGAAAAATGACTCGTTATAATAGGTATTAGTTTTTTGTTGATGATCTGCTTTCATTCTGAAGATTCACTCATATTTGAAAACATTTTTTTTATGTGTAATGTACTTAGATGAATGAATGTTTAACAAACATTAAAAAAGGTAATGCTTAAGACGTGTACAAAATATTAATTTTTATATATATTTATATATACATAAATTCTAAGGAAAAAATCTACACTATCTTGGGAACATTCTTAGGCTTAAATTTAAGATTAACACCAGCACTTTTTAATGTCTCTTCCAAAGCAGCAAGCTTTTGTAATGATTTTTTTGCTTTTTTTACGTGCTTTGCCTCGTCTAATGGAAGATCGTTTTTCTTCAATTCTTTCATGCGATTCTTTACTTTAGGGTTTATCTTTGTAGTCCATGGTTGACCTAAAAAGAAGCCTCGATGTTGTTTTTCTGGTGGTATGTAGGTAGCTGTAAAACAAATATTATTTAATAATTGAGAAAGAAAAATGTCACTGTAAAAGAATTGTTGTTTATACTAGGAGTTATTACTTTTCAAAAGCCTGCCACACATCAAATAGTTGTTCATAGTTTCTGCAGCAATCTTTGCCACTTCTGGTTCTTTGAATTCAACGTAACCATATCCTCTACTCTTTCCAGTCTGAAAAGTCATAAAATTGACATCATCTAACTTACAAGCAGTCATACTAACGATATTTACAAAACGTAGTGGTCTACCTTTCTTGATCTCGCTACCCTCACATGAGTAACTGTCCCAAATTGTTCAAAATACTCTTTCATTTCATTTTCAAAAAATCCATGAGGAATGTGTCCAATGTAAACAACTCCTCTGGTTGATTGGAACGGTTTTTCTTTTTTCTGAGGTGATTTTCCTGCATCATTTCTTTTGCTCTTTTTGGAATTGTTTGAAATTATCGTCTTAGCGACTTTTAAAGCTTTCTTAGGAACTTCTTCTGTTGTCTTTATCTTGGTTACTTTGTTGTTTTTGTTCTGCAACAGAGCGAGCAACATATGAAACACAGAATTATTATTTTGGTAAAAACAATAAAAGTTCATGTGATTTACTTATATTTATTGTATTTTACGCAACAAACCAACACTTATCGTGTTCAATATTGTTGTGAATAAGTATAATTTTTTTTGATATTACTTAGAAAAAAAAAAAAGAAAAAAAAAGAAAAACTGTAATAAAAACTGTAATTTTATTTTAAAAAACATATCGCAAAATAGGTTATATTTTGAAAACTTCGTTTACCTTTACGATATTTGTCACATTGCTGACGGCTTTGCTGAGAACCGATATTCCCGGTGCTTTCGTCTTCTTCACTTTCATGTTATTATTTTTTCATTTGCTTCTTAAATTGAAAACAAAAACTAAACTATTTTCTAAACTCTTACGATTTAAACGCACGTGAGATAGAAAGATGTATTCACGATTAAGCCCGACCGTAGAAAACGGAGTTTGACAATACCATTACCATATGACCAAATGACCAAACATTAATATATATATATTACGACATTTTTCCAACTAGCTATCAGCGCCATCTAGCGGATGATTATTCTCGAGAAAACTCGTGGCTCAGATTCCCTACGGACGTTTTTTTATTTCGGATGACGAAGAAAAGCTCAACTCGGATTTCGCTATGTAAAATATGACAGAGAAATACGAGTAGTGCTTTTTTTCGTCCGCCTCAAAAGTCACCGCTGATTGGCTCCACTATTTGTAGGCGGTCAAATTTGTTAGCGGACGAAAAAGAGCACATCTCAGATTTCTTCATGTTATTTTACTTAGCGAAATCTGAGTTGAGCTTTCCTTCGTCATCCGAAATAAAAGAACGTCCGTAGGATACATATATATTGCTCTACGGCAGCGCAAAGCGCAATAGACTTAACACAGCCGCTTGTGGTGACAATTCTATCCTGCAATACCTGCATGCTTTATTGCGCTCCATGTGACTGCAGCCCAAGATTGTCTTTTAATTATCAGTTGTCAAAATGATTAAATTTGGTATCTGTACATTTTTAACCCGTAAATTTTTAGGTAAAAGATAAATTGTAAACTTGCCGCAAACAGCACGAAATATGTTAACTTATTATTGTCTATCTGTAAAATAAGTTGCGGCTGGTTTATAATTGATAACATGGCTATAGAGTTAACATTATTTGGATCAGCGCCATCTAGCGTTGCGGATTTTTGAACTAAAAAGTGGCCCTAAACTTTTCAACCAGAGCTTTAGCGCTTAGAGCCACTTAGCTTATTATAAACCAGCCGCAACTTATTTAGTAGCTATAAAATGAAAAAATAATTATACAAGTGTTTTTGGCGGCAAGTTAACAATCTATTTTCTACCAAAAAATNAAATGAGTTGCGGCTGGTTTATAATAAGCTAAGTGGCTCTAAGCGCTAAAAATCTGGTTGAAAAGTTTAGGGCCACTTTTTAGTTCAAAAATCCGCAACGCTAGATGGCGCTGATCCAAATAATGTTAACTCTATAGCCATGTTATCAATTATAAACCAGCCGCAACTTATTTTACAGATAGACAATAATAAGTTGACATATTTCGTGCTGTTTGCGGCAAGTTTACAATTTATCTTTCACCTAAAAAATTTACGGGTTAAAAATGTACAGATACCAAATTGAATCATTTTGACAACTGATAATTAAAAGACAATCTTGGGCTGCAGTCACATGGAGCGCAATAAAGCATGCAGGTATTGCAGGATAGAATTGTCACCACAAGCGGCTGTGTTAAGTCTATTGCGCTTTGCGCTGCAGGATAGTAGCCTATTGCGCGGCGCAATATACTTAACACAGCCGCTTATGGGGACAATTCTATCCTGCAATACCTGTATGCTTTATTGCTCTCCATACTGGGGTCGTATTCCGTAAATTTTGTTCTCTGTGGGTGTTTTCCGCAATCGTCACCAGCAAGTAATTTAAGGTTGTCCTCTAAGTTACCGTCAGGTCGGTAAGTCAACTACCTTGAATTAAACTGACGCTCTATTCCGTAATCTGGCCAGTAAAAACAGCAGACGACAGTCAATAGAGATGAAATCTTCACCATGGTGTAAGAATAGACAGGTGGGCCGAAGGCCCGCCTCTATCGAGTCCAATTTGTGTCGCAGTACATCTAAAATCCGCTAGGTGGTTTCGAGTAGTAGAGGCAGTTTTTATAATGGTCAGTATGACTATATAAAAAAAAAAAAAGAAAAAAAAAAAAAATTTTCATACTATCAATGGCCTGCACGACACGGATCCCTCTGGTGGCTAGTATCGGTACTGCGACCAAATTTGAACTTTTTTTACAATGCGTTGAGGTAGGCCTTCGGCCCACCTGTCTATTCTTACACCATGATCTTCACTTTTTTCTCGACTTTCACGTCGTCTGCTGTTTTAACTGGCCAGATTACGGAACAGAGCGCCAGTTTAATTCAAGGTATATAGTTGACTTACCGACCTGGCGGTAACGTAGAGCGCAACCTTGAATTACTTGCTGGTGACGATTGCGGAAAACACCCTGTGTGAGCTTATGTTGTCATAGGCTGACTGAGCCAGCCGGCAGCCTTAGCGATGGAATTTGACATCCATAGCATACGATGTCATCAATGTTTGTGCCGTTTGTAGGCTTGTTTTGGTCACTTAATTGCTCCTGATGGCGGAAATGAAAACAATAAGTAGTATATTTTTTTATTTTCTTCTCCGTTTGGCTAGATATGATATTTAAATAATCGATACTTAAGTACAACTTCTGACCGTAATAAAATTGACGATACAATGAGATGATTTTTTTTCTACTCATTCAGATACTTATGTTTCACATAAAGCAACACTACCGCATTCATCTGTGTTGCTTTAAAATGCTGAATTCCCATGAAAGTTAGTTTGTTTAAATTAATATAAAGGTATACAATGGTGAATTTATATTCAAAAGTATGAAAAAGCTCATGAAAGCTTCATTCACGCCTTGAGCTACAATGTTTGTAGTTCATTATGCCGATAAAAAGCAGTAAAATTCAAAATGTGACTACCAATGATGTGCAGTGATTGTTTATTTATTGATGAACTGTTTACACTTGCAGATATTGTTTTTGCAACTTCGATTGAGTGCCAATAGACACAGCGTTTTTTCATCATGATACGACGTTTTTTGCTAACTAACGTATAACAAGATAGCTGGTTAATTTGTCATTGAGGAACTTATTCCTTATTATTTTTGAGAATGTACATACAATAAATACATTTTTTAACTACACAAAATGTTCGGCTCGAGACGACCATTTAGTCACTTATTGATGAAAAGCTCGATTGCGGCATTAGGAGTTTTATTTTTTACTCAATATGTCATATACTATCTTGTCCTGATACAGGTACATTTTTTTACGAATTTTAGAAAATTTTAATCTTTAAATGAGCAAAATTTCAAATTGTTTCATTATTTCTAGTGTGCCTGGCCAGTATTGGACGAACGGAAAGTTGATCCTAAAATACCTCCTTCAACAGTTGACGAAAAACCTATTAATGTGATGTTTTTAGCTGACACTCACCTGCTGGGTTCAAGGAAAGGCCATTGGTTTGATAAATTAAAAAGGTCTCGAGAGATATATTATGAACTGCTGTACATGTATACATTTCTCCAAACATTTAACTGTTGGGGTATCTATATTTCGTTTATTATATTTTAGAGAATGGCAGATGTACAGGGCATTTCAAACGGCAATGGCACTCCATAGGCCAGATGTGATATTTGTATTAGGTATGCAAGTCTTGTGATCAGGCATTGTTTTCCCAATTTAAGAGATCACTTGATTTTTTTCGTTTTAATTCCAGGCGATCTTTTTGATGAAGGGCAATGGTGCAGCTTGGAAGAATTTCAGGTGTATGTCGCAAGATTTCAAGCTACGTTTGCCGTTCCGGAAAACGCGCATCTCTATGCAGTGGCTGGAAATCACGACGTAGGATTTCATTATGGTTCGAAATTTATTAACACTTTTGATTCCCTGATGCGAGGTACTAAAAGAAAAAGTATACTAACAATTAAATTTTGTATTAGTTATTACTCCTTATTTAAACCAAAGATTTGTGAATGCTATGAATACATCAAGCGTCAAAAGAGTCAGTATTAGAGGAAATCACTTTGTTTTACTCAACAGTATGGCTTTGGAAGGAGATGGATGTTTTTTGTGTAGACCTACAGAAGTAGCTATCAATAAAATAAGCAGTAAGATGTTTATAGTAGTCATTAAGTCATTAATATGTTTTTTTGCCATTCAACTAGCTAATGTAGACAATTTTTTATTTAGAATCTCTAAAATGCGCCAAAGGCGTTGGTAATAACTGCGAAAATACTAATATTATTAAAAGATACAGTAGACCCATTCTAGTGCAAGTTAGTAAAGATTTTTGCTTGCAGTTACTACATTTTTTTCATTCATTTTGATCATTGATGATTGTGATTCAGCATTACCCGCTATATCGTGAATCTGATGAGATTTGTAACGAGGTCGATGAAGCCCCAGCAGATATAAAAAGTATCAAGTTCCGAGAAAGATGGGATTGCTTGTCAAAAGAAGCAACAGATCAAGTAAATTTTAAGCAATTAAAGATTTTTTTACCGATGTGTTTGGAAGTTGATTGTTATGCGTTTTTTAAAAATTTTAGTTACTAGATATATTAAATCCAAGACTCGTAGTTGGTGGCCATACACATCATGGATGTAGAAAAATTCACAGGCAAGATATTTTGGAAATGACAATTCCGTCGTTCAGTTGGCGAAATAAAAACAATCCATCGTTCTTGTTGGTGGGTTAATGTCATTTATCTTTTTTATTTTGTTTGTTTTAGCATATATTATACGTATTATACAAAATAATTTACTTCCAGGGCGTATTCACACCAAATAATTACGCTTTATCAAAGTGTTATATGCCTGTTGAATCAACAGTTGATAACATTTGTATAATTGGTTTAATTGGTATAATTATTTACCTAGTAATCAAATTTTGGAAAAATAGACGTTACAATAATAAAATCCTTTAAGTATTTTACGTTTGAACGTTGTAAATATTACCTGCTACGCTTTGAATTATATCACTTTACAGTTTTATATTACATTTTAATTGTTTTTATTTACCTACAAAAGTGAACAGAAGTAATGTTTTTGAATCCAAAACTGGATTTGCATAGTACACAACTAATTTTTTTTCATAATGAATCGTGTTGTAAGTTATATTTTTTGTCATTGAAACTTGTAAACAAATTTTGTTATTCTTGATGATTAAAAAAGTAAAATTACTTTAAAACGATTAACAATGATAAATTTTGATTTAATATAATAAATTTCATAATTTTAGTAATACTTAAAAACCATATAGTACTATAATTTTCTTCACAAATATGATAAAAATTAAGTATTAAATCTTGTAATTTTTAAAAGTTTTTTTTACAATCATCAAAGAAATAATTAGAATATCAAGAAATGATGAATTTATTTATAAATAATTGTTTACTCAGAATTTTAAGAAATGATACATTTTGAAATCTACAAAGTATTCTATATAAAACGATGATTTATATATTTACACGCGCAAGATGCAAACATGTTGAAGTGAGCTCATACTGTACAGTTAATTCTCGATCGATCTTCAAGGATTTGTACACATTGATTCAAAAAATTAACATTTTTTCAACACTCAAGCAATTAAATTATTTTCGGATCAGCGCACTTAAATGCTACAACTAAAGAATATATTTAATACAATGTACCAGCAGATTTACAAGACTTAAAAAGTAACTGATCCCTTTCACGTGTGTAATAGTAATTTTCTGCCATTAGAAACTGGAAAATGTAATCAAACATTGCAACAATTTTCTCATAGAGAACAAAATTACAATTAATCAAATCACAACTATTTCGTAGTTAACTTTCTTCTGGCAGAAAGAATATCACTGATTTATCAGAGTCAGTTTAGTACGACTAGTCTATTTTGACGGATGCATAAATTTTTCGGATAAACGAGTAAGCTGCAAAGAAACCGATCGTCCCGGTTAGCAGCCAAAACGTGAGCACCATCAACGTAGTGTATCCGAAATACATAAGAGTCGGTACGAGTTCCGTTATCTCCAGTTTGGTCATAAAGTAAAAGATGGAATAAGCCAGTACGTACACTGCTGAGCCACCACTGACTATGAAACTGCGCCACCACCATCTGTAATCCTGGAGTAGAAAACAGGAATAATTAGTACTAGAGTAAGATTTTCAACTCAGATAAAAAGTTTAAAGAAAAAACATACTTCTCCACAAAGTTGAAAGTACACCATGACGATTGATATCTGAGAACATGATATCACAAGAATACAAAAAACTAAGAATAAGAAACCAAAGACGTAATAAAACTGATTTTCCCATAGCGCGGTCAATATGAAAAACAGCTCAATGAAGACTGCTCCGAAAGGCAAAATACCAGCCATAAAAATACTGAAAAGTAAAGTCGATTGAGTTAATTTTTTTCATTTCCACTTTGACACAAATTATTTGAATTAAAACTTACCTCAAGATAGGATTCATGTACCAAAGTTGATCTGGTACTTGTCGAGGAATTTGGTTAGTTATAACGGGATGTGTAAATGGTTGCTTTCGGTATCCAAAGAAGTAACCAAGGTACACGAGAGGCAAAGAAATGCCAAACCAGAGACAAAGTAACGACACCATTGTGGAGAATGGAACTGCTCCAGAGCTATGCTTGCCCCAAATGAAAAAGTTCAAGAAAAAGCATGTACCAAATACAATACCGGGATATAAAGTTGCAGCCTAAACATCAAATTGAAACAAACAAATTTTCAATATAAACAACACAGTTTTTAAATTAATCAAATTCATCATACTTCATGTGTTATGATAGTATCTGCAAGAGTTTTGTTGCAAAAGGACTTACCAAAAACGCAGCTTTTTTCCATTCTTTTCCTTTCATAGTTTTGTATAATCTTGCAGAAAAATATCCTGCTATAAGCCCTGAGAAAACATACAGGAAAATCGCGCATGTACCAAGAGCTCCTCTGCTAGCTGGCGAAAGCATACCCAGCATGGCAAAGACTGTATTACAAATAATAACAAATTAGTTCTCACTTATGGTTACGTGAATAAAACTAAGAATTAAACTAACAACTCACAGATTGTTATCAGTGTCATGAAAAATATCTGTATTCCACTACCAATTACGGCAGCAAATAAGCGATTGTTTGTTGGTGGTCGAAAAACGTCTCCATGAACAAGTTTCCAACCAGTTTCCTCGATTGCTTCATCAAGTCCGAGATCACTATCTCCAGCATTGTACCTAGCAATATCCCTACGTAGGGTTCTAACAATAATCATTGTCAAAATACCTGTTAAAATCATAAGATTATAATTAAAGAAACATTTCTCATACTTCAATGAGGTACAATTAGAAGGATACTGTACACAAAAAACAATTGAAGCAGGAAATACGTAATACAACTATTATAATATAATACATATATGCAACTATTGCTTAGTAAAAATTGTTAATAAAAATAATATATTACCTGACAAGAAACAGACAACAACTAAAGAGTTGACAATGGAGAACCAGTGAATTTCCACATCACTCATTCCAAGATACGCATCCCATCTACTTGCCCAACTAATTTCTGATTCACTCCACTCAACGGAATAGAAGAATAGTATTTTAGTCAACTTAGGATTGACGTATTGCAGTTTGTGCTCATTGAGATTGATTTTACATGTTTCGTCTTCAAATTCTACTGTATTATAATCTATTGAATGGGCTTCCACTTCAAAACCGACGACTCGGAACTGATTCCTACAATTATTTCAGTTAATTTTTTCAATAAAGAAGATTTTCATATTTCACAAAAACTTACTCAGCATGTTTGTGGTAACTTAATTTAAATTTCAAATAATTGTTCACATAGGCTTTGTTGTTCTTATCAACACCACCTAATCTGTACCCTGGATAAACAATAGTGTTGTCATCATTTTTTTTCTTTGTAGCAGCTGGTAGATTATCAATCAACCTTCAAAAAGTATAAAGATAACGTTAATGGATCAATTACAAAAATATTTTTTATCAAAAGAAGAGATTTGATGACTTACAAATGAACTGTGTACTCTTGTTTGATTCTCTCAATGAATCGGAGAGAATCTTGTTCACTCCAATTCATAGGATTTGATTTACCATGACACAAAAGTTTACAGCTAACATCTTGACCCATTGCAACTATATAAGGAGTGTTGACGATTCTAAAACCAGGAAAAAAATTTTTTTTATAAGCAAAGATGTTTTGATTCCCACCTAATTTTATGTTTATTAATATTTACACTGAAAACATTTACCTGTCACCTCTGAGAATCTCTCCTAGATTCTCTGACTTATACTTTAACGTTCCTTTTTTAGGTTTACAAAATTCCAAAGAGTAATATTCGTACGGTAGTTGTGCACGGGTGCTGGTCATTTTGACAGCTTTAACATCAATATTCTGTCCTCTCTTAAACTCAACTGGAGCAACTCCGGGAACTTTGAAATACAATAGTCCACATAAAAATTCGCAACATAAATAAGCAACATATATTTTACCATATGATTCATTCACTTGACTTACCATAGAACCCATGGACCTCAACTAAGAACATAATCAAGGCCAGCACAGCCCACCTCCGTTTTAACCTATCCTGTGGGATAAATGTCTATAATTAATAAAAGATCAAAAGCTCGTATGAAGAGTCTAACTCGAGGTGACTTAAAATGCCTGTATGAAAAAATTTGATGGTTGTCATGAAAAACAGAGCCAACAAGCCAATTCTTAAATAATTGAAACATTCAATGCTGAAACGACCTATGAGAAATTTTTTGCCAAATCAATCTGCACTTCGACGTTTATAACATTCAACTTGAACCCAGCAAAAATAATGAGAATCCGACTAGTTAGAGAAAAAAAGAAAGCTCTTACCATCTTTCGTTATTTTTTCTTCCGGAGTCGCGCCACGCTGACGATTTCTCTTCCTCTTGTTAGGTTCTAAACAGATGTATACCTATATAAATTTACTCCAGAGACACGACGACCAAAGAGACGACGAGGTTAATGCTTAAGTAACCTGTTAGATATTTGGATGTGTTTTCTCGGGCTGTGCTGGCTTTTTGTTGTCTTTTCTTCGTCTATGTTGCTCTTAACAGCACTTTTTTTCTGTCATCGAAGAAAAAGGCATATAGCACTGCCCAGCACACTTGCATTAAGACGATTGTTTAAGATACACTTGGAAACCTTGGAATAGTTGGAATCCAACACCTTAACACACGCACTCACATTGAGTCCACTGAGCTGAAAGTTAATTAATACAATTCGATCAATTAAGTATTTTACCCAGATTCTTTTTATTACGTAGTATGATATACCTAGGTACGTCTACTTTGTTTCTAATGTCATATCGTAATGTATACCTATATATGTTTTCAAACACTCGTCTGCACGGTCTGCATCTATGCCCTCCTGCGGCTCCGTATATATTTCTCATCTTATATTACTGTGTCTATATTTTATTTCTATTGTTGTAAATACAATAATTTTGACGTATACTTACTTAATCACTAATCATATATAGGTAATACACGTAGATGCGGGTCTGATTGGCACTACTTATCAGTTTCAAATATGTTATCGAGTAATCGTGTAACTAAAAGGAAAGAAAATACCCAAGCAGCCCATTTATAAATGTGATACTTTTTTTTTTTTTATAAATAAGTACGATCGTATTGAATATTTCTGAAGTTTTTATCATACTTGAGCAAGTACAATAAAATCCTTGGAAGAAAAAAAATGTTATCAAACAACGATGTTTTACGTAGTGTTGACAATTTTTTATTCAAATTGTTCTCCAATGCAACAAACATCTAATACACTAAAGTTATTCAAACTTATGTGAGCCGTTGCGTATTTTAATATACAACTGATATTCAACTTTTTCAATATTTCTTCATCTGCAGTTACACTGTAAAATATAACGAAAGCACGTGACGGACAAAGTGTGTATAAAAATTCCAGCTTGAATTTCGCGCCATTGCAGACGACTCTGGGGAGGAAGTCAAGTTGTTGTCTTTGGTGAAATTTGTTATTGAAAATAGGCTCTTAACAATGAAGCTTTCGTGATAAAAACTAGTGAAAATTAAGAAGGTCAATAACCAGCGCAAAAATTCGGGCAGACAGGTGGTGTGAAAAAAAAAATACCGAGGGGAGAAAAGTATGGGTGGTCGCTCGCTTGACCAGGCTTTTCCCGTAGGCGAAAAAATATACCCCGCAAGGAAAATATCCTCCACGTGGGGAGTTTAATTACGAGTTGAAATTTTAGTTAAATGTAGTTAATTTTCGTTGAAAAACCATGGTGCAGGTGAGTAGCGCGTGTGCACGCGTTATCCGAACCGTGTGCGGTCCACGAGAGCCCCTGGAGGCGATTTTTCACGCGAGTACGCCGAGGGAGCAATTTTTCGTTTGTTTTTTTTTTCCGCTGTCATCCATTAGTAAATAGGAAAGATGGCAGCAGATTATTGCGCTTTTTTCTCGAGCCGCGGCGCTCGGGGGGGCCGACATTTTTCTTTCCTCGCGAAAAATATATTCCGATCGGGGGATGAAAATTCCGGGATTTTCCGGGCCCGAATGACTGGGAAATTTTGGCCGCGCCACGAGGTTTGTCGACTGGTTTTTCGCGGGCTCGCGAATTTTCGCGAAGCGAGGCCCGCTCGTTGGCGAAAAAGGTGTCACGTCGGGAAAAATTATTGGAAAAAAGAGTGTGGGCTCTCGCGGCTCGAGTGCGGATGCTGGAGCGAGAGGTACTAGGGGGAGGCTGTGGCCCCTGCAATCAATGTGATGATGATGCGTCGGAATTTTTATATCTCGGCGGCGGTGATCGGACGTTTGTCTCAAGAACAGTGATCGAGTGGTCCCCCACCCTCCCTATGATATCTAAATTTGAGTTTTCACGTGGTTAATATATAGTTTGTTTACATTTTCGGAAAGTGTGACATATGAAGGAAGGCTGTTATGCCGGCAACGGGTTTTCTTAAAATTAATTGCTCGTGACATTTGTTACTCCGAAATCGCCGGTATTTTAAAAGTTGTCAAGTGTACATTCATAACCTGGGAAATTATTTTTTTTTAACTTTTCAAACTTACAACATGATTGACTTACGTGTACGTGAATTTACTAAAATTTGATAACATAGCTTTGTTAAGTTTTTATTGAAGAATTCCAAGTGATGTCAAGTAATGATTGTATAATATTGAATTTGTTTGTTTTTGTAGGCAATAGATGAAATGGAGCAGCGGGATCTGCCACAAGCATTCCGTCTGCTGGGAGAAATGAATGCCAATGTGGTTCAAGTGAATCAGTTGGTGGACAACATGCTGGTCAGGGTAAAAAATGGGGAGATCTCAACGGACAAGGGTCTTAGTTTCCTAGAAATGAAGTATCACATGCTGTTATCCTATCTTATAAATTTAACTTATGTCGTCTTGAGAAAGTGTTCTGGAGAAAGGATTGAAGGAGACCCATCGATTGATCGCTTGATTGAGATCAGAGCAGTGTTGGAAAAAATCAGGCCTATCGATTACAAGCTTAAGTACCAGATAGACAAGCTTGTGAAAACTGCAGTTACAGGAACAACAAACAGTGATGATCCAATCAACTTTAAGCCCAATCCAGATGCCTTGGTTGGTCAGTTGGACGAGACAGAGGAAGAGTCAGGAAGTGAGGAAGAAGCTGAAGGTGCCAAAACACAAAAGTCTGGAGTTTACAAGCCACCAAAACTTGCTGCTGTTCATTATGGTAATTATACATAAAGTTTAATGCTATGATAGTTTCGTATGTAAACACATAAATTTGCATCGTTGTATATAATAAATGGTAACGATTTTTGTAATATTTTTATTTTGATTTTTTAGATGGTGATGAAACAATGAAAGAAAAAATGCGCAAGGCCGAGGAAAGAGCACGCAGACGTGTTGTGTCAAATACTGTCCTACGAGAGCTAAAGGAAGAATATCTTGATGCGCCGATTGAAGATGCAAATGATATAGGACAAAAACAAGCAAGCCTTAGCCGTGAATATAAGAGGAGGATCGAATACGAAGAGAATAACTTGACACGTACACAAATGACCAAGGAAGAGAAACATTGTCTACGTCAAATGACAACTCTTGGTACACTTGGAACAGAAATTACTACTTTTGGTGGTTCCTCATCAGCAAAAAAAAGAAAAGCTCCCAAAGGGAAATCTAAAAAAAGTATGTATAAACTATTTTATTTTTATTAAGCTTTGATAGAGCTCATATGTTCATCTTTTAATTGGACATTTTTTTTATTGCAGGTTTCAAAAAGAAACGACGTCACTAAAATGTGATTTACTTCAATCGTCCCAAAAGAATTCAAAACATTGGTATTGACTATTAAGGTAAATCTCTGAAAACTTACTTCGTCACTTCCTCTTGGTAAACGAAATCGCCAGTAATACTCTCGTTGCTAAGTTATATTAATAAATTGATTGAAAAGTCTACCAATAAGGATATACTGTCAGTCAAAGAAACCAAAAACGTGACAGTTGTACTATTGTGTAAGGCATCGTAATGGTCGTAATTATAATTACCAATTATAGTTACTAATGATTTTAATCTCCAACTGTTATAAAGAAAAACGATTTTTAAATTATTATTAACTTGTCTAACTTTACATGGACAAGCGTTTTACTGATACTCATTCATTTTTAAAGAAGTGAGGCATCAGTGTTGACAGATAGTACAATTTTGTCTTCTTTCATGGTAAAGTTGGTTAGTTGGTTAGTTGGTTGGTTTTGCCCCTCGTAGAGGAAGCGCTGTATTTTCTTTTATACTGTTTGTTTTCCACACAGATTATTGTAATTACTAATAATAGATTATTATCGAAAATTTAGAATTTGTGTTTTTATTTTAATTTGGACTGTAAATTATTTATATTTATATTTAAATTTTGTTTTACCGCTACGTGTAATTTAAGTTTGTTTGAAAATTTCGAGAATCGGGCACGTATCTGACAACACTGATACGCGTATGGACGAATTTACTTCGCGTTAGAAGAAATAATCTAAATAAGCGATGGTGGCTTCTAAAATAAAAGAAAAAAATATTATAAAGCCCAAAGCACATCAGCCGTAAAAAAAAAAGAGTAAAGCTAGATTGAGATTCAAAGTTTTTTGAAAGAAATGAAAAAAATAAGAAGATAGCATCGTCCGAGTGACGGCGCTCGAATCAATTGTTACAAAAGCGTAAAAATCACAAGACATTCACCAAAAGCGCAAACTCACTTTAGGCTACCGTCGAAAAAAAAGCTACACTTACCCTTTGGCACTGTCGAAATTTCAGGTCTCTTAAGAAAATTACCAGTTAATTATTCACGATCGCATGTCTTAGGATTTTCTCGCTGTTCTTAGGGTAGTAATATTAGTAGATAACTAGATTAAGTATTACATGTATGTTTTGTTCGTGTTTCCCCCCTGGTAAAACAATGTTGAGGCTATTCAAAAATGAAAAAAAAAAAAAAAACGCAAAAAAGGAAAAAAACTTTCATTGTGACTTTTGTTTTCGGGAACTTTGCGTTCAATTTTTATTTAACGCAGTTTATCTTTCGTTCCTTATTGTTTACTCGAATATAAAGACAAGCTCATATAATCTTTAGGCATTAAACGTGGATGTGTCAAAATTCAAAATTGATGTAAAAGGTTTTTTATCAAGCGTTTATTTCACATTACTGTATTTTGTTTCGTCTAAGAGAGAGAAAGCATGTAACATCACGGAATATTAAGAAAATATAAAAAAAAAAAATGGAAGTAATGTAAGATGAGTGTTACTTCATATCGAAAAAAAAATTATCAAAATTCGTTACGAACCTTTCGACAAATTGTTTAGTTCTAAAACGTTCCGTACACCAGGATAAGCTCTCCGAGCTTTACCGGGATTGCAATGCTAGAGTTGTCCATCAAACTGTTTGTTTGATGGCGAATTCCAGCATCGCGATTCGTTTTGCATTTTTCGAGGAAAAAACTTTTCGGCCTCAGCGAAGCCCAATTATGTTGGTGAAGTAAATCGCTGCACCTTCCGATAAAAAAAAAAAAAAAAAAAAAAGAAGAAGAATGAAAAAAGAAAAAAAAGTTTTTTATCGCTTACGCCAATTGTTGCAGGCTCGATCATTCACATATAGCTCTATATATTTTTTACAAAGATGTTCATTGTTTGAGCCGATTGGCGAAGCATGATGTTACGTGCGTTTCTTTCTGTCCAATCTGTGACAAAGATTAAGATGAAAAAAAAAAATGTGATAAATTATTCTTGAAAAATAATAGTTAAAAGAAACAAATGAGAATGGAAGATGGATGATACTAAAAAATGGAGGAAGAAAAAAAAAATAGCACAATTGCTGGGCATTATTTACAAAGTGCTAGCAAAAAGCCTAAAAAAAAAAAAAAATGTCGTCAGCAGCCTCTCGTGTAGTTCCGATAATTGAAGCCGAAATGGATAAATGTCAATGAAAATTTGTCGAGCCTTGTTGTGGGGGCAGATGTTGATAATTGGTTTTTTTTTACTGTCAACGCGCAAGCACATGTACAATAGATTGATCGTCAGTTTGTAGAACGTATACACGTTACAACACAATATGAAGAATGTCTGAGAAGAGATGATTTTTAAGATTTACAAACACAAGCAGATTTCAATCGAGACGCACATCATCAAATTCTACTTGACATTTAACCGGCATTTCGCTTTCAACAACTTGGACGATAAGTAATAATTGAAGAATTTCAACTATACCCCCTCCAAAGAGACCACTATGAGTCCAAATAAACTTTTCTAGGGACAGGGTTTTGAATTTTAAATAAGAGTAATAAAAAATAAAATAGAAAAAAAATAAGAGAGAGAGAACGGAGACGAGGGGGAGTGTAAGAGGGTGCTTTGATTTTTCAAAACGCTGAGCGCGAGGAGCGAGAGTCCAGCGTTTTATAGGCATGCGCGTTTTAAAATTTTTTTTATTGATTTTTCCGTTGATTTTCGATTGCTTGTTTGTACGGTTACACAAACCGGAAGTCGATGAATTTTTGACCTTTTGGACTTGTAGCAAAGGGTTGTACGGCAAACGAGCGTGAATGACGAACGAATCATATTACAAAAAAATTGTACGATGCAACACAAACACATATCCGCGCACAGTTACTAAACAAACTCATGTCCAAGTCTAATTTTAAGGTATCGATCGAATTCAAGAATTTGTTACCGGGTCAACCGTTTTTTCGCGTGGCTCGAATCGAAGGAATGGATTATCTCTGCGAGTCATTAAACAAAGTAACAAGCAACGCATCCGAGAAATATAAAAATTAGTGTAAAACAGGGGAGATCTGAGGGGATGGATGAAAAAGAAACTCTGTTCGTTTCTCGTTTTCCATAGCAGTGGAATGGATTCCCGACACTTCACAATGTACAGATATACGCTATGCGAACAGATGATGAACAATAGTTATTTATACAGAATTAGTTGTAATAACAATAAACACAGTACTTGAAGGGCGGAAAGTGAATTTCCGCGCCTTCGTTCGCGCCTGATATGCCTTGAGTCTTTCAGCATTATTATACGAAATGATACATTTTTTATTATTGTAACATGCGACAACTATAATACACATTCTTTAATATCTTAACGATGAGAAATAGAGAAGAAAAAAAAATAAGAAAAAGAAAAAAAAACGAACAGAGTTGGCATTTATTACATAGTTCCAAAGAGAGTGAGAGAAAAAAAAAGTATAGAAAAAAAACTAAGTTCACGCTGCTGTCCAATGGAGACGTCTTTGCAGCAAAGACAAAATAAAAATAATTTATTGACTGGGTACATGTGAATTATTGAATGATTTGTGAGAATCACCGTGTCAATCGGTGATGCTGATGAAACTTTTGAATACTGATAATGTTTTTTTATTATAAATTTATTATGATTTTTATCATTATTGATTGATTGATTGATTGTCATTATTAAAATTATTATCATCGTCTTTATTATTGCTATTATTATCATTACTGTCATGGTAAATGATATTGTCATCATCATCATCATCATCATCATCATCATCATTATTATGTAGAAGGCTTCTTACTGACTGAATAAAATGTTTTAATGTCAAAACGCTTGTTTTTATTACATCAACTATAAAAACACATCTCATTTAAATGTATAGTCTAAAATCATAATGATACAACTGATCGATCTTCCAGGTGATCACGGACTTTTTCTTGTATTGCTCCCGATGTTTTCCTAAAAAAAGTTTTACCTTTGTTTTCAAGTTTTTCTACCTCTTCCTTCTTTCCCCCCCCCCCCCCATAGCGCGTGCACTTTTACCTCTATCCTGAAAATGTTTATAAGCTGAAATAACATTTGTACACCGAACAGATCGAATCACGTGAAAAATCCTGTGAAACCCTGTAAAATATTGTTATTAAAACACAAGAAATTGTATCGAAGAAAGAAGCTGTTGGGAAAACCTTGTTCTAGCCACACTGTATACTTACGTGTTATGTATCCGAGCAGCTCATCACGCAAGCAGAGCCGAATAGGGCCGCGTATAAAATACGACGAAACGATTGTACCCATCGATCTCTTATCGATCAAGCGAGCAAAATAACGTACAGCCATGTATTAAAGTAACATGCTTAGCTTTCCCTGCAGCAGATCCTTTTCTCTTCCGTACAAAATCTAAAATACATCCACTCGCCATTATAAACACGTACAGGTAAAGTATATATACAACAGAGACTTTCGCCTACACTTACCAAGTGTAAGTATACAGCAGTGCCGAGCAGCGATCGGGGCCTTTTATACACGGAGCGTTGATGTAGAAAGTTAAAATTGCTGTACTCCCGGCATAAAACACTCCTCTCCGCTCGTTATTCGCCAAAAATATACGTGTACCTAGACCTACAAGGTATACCATGTGTACATACGCGGTTAATACTTGAAATTTTTATTCATCAGTGCAAAGTATAAGTTGTAAATGAATACGCAATTAAGCTTATGTCTGGATGGATATCGGTGAGCTTATTTTTTTGAAAATAGAAGAAAAATGAAATAATTTTTTTTTTTTTTTTTTTTGTTCAACCAATGGAAATCTTACGTACTGCATAATACGGGCAACTGCGATAGTAAATAAGCTCCCCGANATGGTTTCTTTAACAATAGTAATTTTGCTTCCGTTTTTTACCACTGGGAGAATTTGACGAAAGTCTCTACCTAAAATTATTATTTTATTTCCAAAAGGCTTATTACTACTAGATAAATCTTTTTAAATCCTATCAACGATTTTTAACGATTTTCGGTATCATAGAAGCTTCATCCCAAATAGTTACTTCTACATTACGTAATTTTTGTTTATTTGGCTCAAACTGGAAGAACGCGCTTTCTTTAGTGCTTAAGTCTAAAGGAAGTCTGAAAGTTCTGTGAGTGGTCATTTCCTTTGGAAGCAGAATAAAAGCAATACCTGTCCAAGCCATTGTAAGAATTTTTTTATCAATTGATATGAAATAATAAATTAATGTTTTGTATAGAAAAGTTTTTTCAGATCCACCAGGACCATCGATGAAAAAAATTTTTTTTTTTTTTTTTTTTGTTCAACCAATGGAATAAGTATTTTGTATCCCCTTGTAGCGCAGAGAGATGGTGGTGTACACAGTCATGGATCTCAAGTGAAAAAGCTCGAAAACGGATGTAAAAAAAAAACCAAAGCTTGCAAGTTTGCCCCGTTTCTCCCTCGTTGGAACGAAGAGAGGCGAAGATAGAGTGGGTATAGCAGAGAGGGAGAGATAGGAAGCAACAACTCTTCGCGAGGAGAGGCGCAGTGTGGCACGGCGAGCCGAGGTCTGTACAACAACCGAGTGGAGCTTGCACGCGCGGGTGTACATATTTTTTTTTTTTTATTTTGTTTCTTGTACGTGTATACACGAGTATGGAATATTTACAATACATACGTAGCATTTTATTTTAAAATCACAATCAGAACTTTATACGTGTACATTTAACTTTGTGTTGTTTTTGTTCAAGTTCAACGAAGACGACTACGACGACTGCCTCATTCGGTGTGCGTATAATACGGTGTATATATTTATATACCCATATGCATGAAATATTTTTTACAGCTTGCTTTTCTTTTTCATACAGTTTTTCGGAATATTCGTGTACATTTTCGTACTAATGCTTTATTCGTTTCTTTTTTTTTTTTTTTTCCTGATACTCGGTGCAGTGACGAAATGTATGTATTGTAAAGGTGGCGATGATGTAGGTGATTGACGCCCACGACTTGATTCATCTCATTAAAATACGCTCTGCCCGATGGCTTTATTGAAACCGATGCCCTGCGTGTCTCTGTTGTGCAGTGTAAAGAAAAAAAAAAAAAAAAAAAAAAAAAAGGATGAGCGATTCGTTTGTTCGTGACGTATATACACACACATCACGTATACTCATAATTATTATTATTATTATGTAGAGTGAAGTGCGGCTCTGTGTTATTTTTAGTTGGTGTGTTTTTTATTTTAATGAAAAATCGCCGTGTACGCGTCGCCAACAACGTATTTTTGACTGACAGCGCACATATAATATACGTATGACTGAGAGAGGGAGCGCCCACTATGTAAAAATTGAAAAAAACACGAATAAGTAAGAAATGGAAACAAGTGCATGGATTGATCGTTTCTCCATACAATACCAGTCACGTATATTTCGAAACCACAACGCGGCTTCTTCGGTGTGCGTATGGCACTATTATTATTACACTTTCGTATCCAGGCTGAGGGGGGGGGGGGGCTCT